CCGGCCTCGGGTCGCCCCCCGCCGGTCACAGCAGTGGGAGGCGGTACGGGAGGAGCCCCCAGCCTGCGTGTGAGCGGGGCCGCGCGAAGGGCTGGGGTGGCGGGTGGCTTCTGGCGTTGTGCTGGGGGGGACCCTCTTTTTTTTTTTTTTTTGCTGATGAAGAATCTTATTTAAATACTTGGTTTAAATACTAGGAGGAGAAAACGAAGCCCTGTATAGGGAGCAGTAATAAAAAGTGGGAAGGGAAAACCTAGACTGCTCAGCTGTTCTGTGAAACTTGTATGACAGGTACCTCTGTGGGAGACATATCTAACACGGAACTGACAGGAAGTTAAAAGAAAAAAAAAAGCCCTTGAATACTTCTTGGAAGTGTACTTTTTCCTGAAAAAATTCTCAGGCCTGACTCCTAAGTTCCCTTCCAAAACCAGCATAAATGCTTGTGAGAGCTACTTCCTTTATTGGGCTGTATTGATATGCTGGAATGGGGCTTTTTTTTAAATCAAAACAGTAACCTTTTATGTTATGAAGGTAGAATATTCTCCTAAGTATATCTGCATCAGAGAACTGTACAGTGAGCTTGTTGTTGAGGCAAGTGGGGAAATGCTTTCTTTATTCAGCCAAGTCCCACAAATTATTTTATTGGTCTTTTATTGTTGTAAAAGATGTAAGAAAACTTCTATAGGGAAAACAAATCTGTTTTCTTGCACCTTTAATAGAAGTTCTGAAAGTTTGCAGAGCAACATTTTAGACCTAACGTACTTACTGGTTTTATAAAGATATGCCATTAAAATTCATTTTACTAAACCTTAAAATTTTCTTTCTGGAAGAAAAATATTTTTAATAACATGCACAAAGCTACCAATAACAGCCCGATAGCTTCTTTTTTGGAATCTATTCTTTCAATTCTTTCCGTTTTGCTACTGCACGTTTAGGTGTTGATCAGTGTATCCAGAAATTTCTGGATGTTGCAAGACAAACAGAGTGTTTTTTCCTCCAAAAAAGACTGCAGCTATCTGTCCAGAAACCAGAGCAAGTAATTAAAGAGGTAAGTTTAATTTAATTTGTCTGTATTGTTCTAGATAACTTGCTGTACCAGTACAGTTAGATCACCTGATTCACGTTAATTTTGAGTTTCTTAACTTGATGCTGTATCTTAAGTTGGTAGAACTCAGGCTGTTAACGTAGTTCTCACCATCAACCTGAAGAAGCTGAATGCATGCTCTTCTTGGAACACAAAGGTGAATAATGTTAGCTGATCTGAAGAAATAAACTAGTTAGTTAGTCTAATTTTGCCAAAAGCACAATCTCTCTGAAATATGTGATCTGTGGGAACAGAACTAGTGCATTCATGATGCTTTCTCTCTGTTTTATTAATTGTTTTTTCTTTTTTTAGAATCCCTATAAGATTAGTTTGAGAACTTAGACTAAAAAAATACAAGGTCTTTATGTGAGGTGGTTGTTATGAATATTGTCTAATTACTAATATATTTTTTTTTCATCTGTAGGATGTTTCAGAATTAAGAAATGAATTGCAGAGAAAAGAAGCGTTAATTCAGAAGCATTTAGGTAAACTACGACACTGGCAACAGGTCCTGGAAGATATCAGTGTACAACACAAAAAACCTGCAGAAATGCCTCAAGGTCCATTAGCTTACCTAGAACAGGCATCTGCTAATATTCCTGCTCCAATGAAGCAAACATAGTCTTTACATGTCTTAATAATATTCTGAGCAGTGCAAAGTGGTGTTGCTCTTTCTACTTTATCTGATTTTTGTATAATGTGATTCGTACTACAAATATAGAGAGTTAAGACAGAGAATTGAGCCAAATAAATTATCCTTTTGCAAAAATATGGGTTGATTTTTATATTTAAATGGAAAGTACGCAGAGTTCTTATGTTTTCTAGTATAAAGTTTTCCAGAACGCATCCTCTTCCTTCCTGAAAGGGTGACCCTAGCTTTCCCCTAACTGGCTTAGTATGATGAAAATACTTGCAAAGATTACCATCTGGAAGATTTAAATGTTTTTGGACTCAAATTCTAATTAAATACCACTGTAGAGGCACCCTTCTATTTGTCTGTATTTAGTTCAGATCAAGAGTGTGCTTTTTTCAAGTGAATCAGCTGTCTCCCCTGAGCTTTCACTTATGTCATGAATGGGTCTTGGGCTATGAAAACTTGATTCCTTTTGGATGAAGTGAAACTGCAAGATGCACCCTGGAGGTTATGTTATATACTCCCCATTAGTGGTGTTCTGTTGATGTCAAGCTAACGTAGAGTTGGTGCAAAATATAATTTTCTCCTTCCCCCTCCCGTCCAAGAATACTAAGTGTGGATGTTGGGTCATCAGCGCTTTTTCAGTCTACGGAATCTGTTTCTGTTACGGAACACCACTTGTCTCTTGACAACACGTTTGTTGACGAATTGCCTAAGCTAATTTATTGATGGTTGTCTTATTTTAGAATAGCACCATCCCTCCCCAGCAACGAGTTGGCAAACATGATATGATAAATTTAGTCCTGTATGCACTTTGTATATAGGTGAGCGTAAGAACAGAATTGAGATTAAATGTGCAGATATGCAGTTTCCATGAATCTGGAACTCTGAAAGTATCAGTCTGACTCAGACTTCAGCAAAACAGCACTATTTTGCAAAACATACAAATGGGTGATTTACAAGCAAGTTTTAATGTTTCTACTAACATATTATCCTGATTTATCAGAATGATTTTTACACGTGTTGAAGTGCAATAGAAACTATTTCTAAAGCAGCCTGCTATAAACATGCTGCTCTTGGAGGTATACCACAATGCTGCACAGCATAAGATAAGTAAGTTTAACAACTTATTCAAACCTATAAACTTATTAATATAAGCTGAAATGATTTTAAAGAGCTGATGAAACAAATGTATAAACTGACAGAAATCACCTGCAGAAGTAAGGTGTTTCTTCAGCTAAAGCTGAACTGATAGGCAGGAGGTATCAGATAACAAATTGCATATTTAATGTAACTGTGAAGTAGTATGTTCTCTTGATTATAAAGTTTCTTCACATAAAAATATCTACAATTGTGCACTTCCTTCATTTTTTGTAGATGATGTTAAAAAAAATGCATTTTTCCAAAATCCATGCCTGTAATTCCATGGTAACTAGATGTAAGAGGGTGCAGTTGTTCCTAATAATGTACTTGCAATTTACAGAAATATTTTTATTTTTTTCTAAATCATATACTTATTGGACTGTCATTTCCCAAGAGAAAATGGAAACATCTTTTCTAGTAATTCTGAGTAGTATAAAAACAGTTTGTTTTAGAAGGAAAAGTATTTAGTAAACCATTCTTGATGCTTAGGGTTTCGTTTTTGGTCATCTTTGCTTTGCAATGCTTCGTTGTCATGTGTCCTGTGCAAACAAATAAGCATTAGTACTACTTAAAATCTTACTAATATTTAACGTATGTCCCATCCCCTCCCTCACGCCCAGAAAAACTCATGGTCCAATGCATGGATTTGTGCTCGCGTGAGCTGGATGATGCCAAAAGGTACCTGCTTCAATTCCTACTGGGATCTGTGCTAGCCAGATAACTGGGCTAGCAGCACAAAGGAAAGTGTAAAGTAGGGCTAAGCAGCTACGGAGAAGTGTTTGGACATAGTTCTTGACTCGGCCTGTCGTTAAATGAAAAATGGATGCTTCAAGCATATGAAGCCTTGAAAATCCAAAAAACCCCACTCTGTAATTCAGTCTTAAAAAAATATGACATAGTACATGAAGTACACATGAAAAATTGTGGATAAAAATTTTATTTGAAAATGAAAGATTTTTCTAAATATTAACTGGCTTTTATAACTGATCTTATTACATATTTCCTGATTTTTCAGCACTCTGATTCTTTTTGATATTTATATTAATTTCAGTCAGTTTATAGTGTCAATTCATCATTTCAGTTATCATTTATTTAAAAGATTAAGCAAGTAGCAGCCAAGCTACTCAGTGCCCCTGTACATTTCCCTTTAAAATACAAAGCTGACTTGCCTTGGCAGTCATCTGGCATGACACAGAATGCTTTTATCTTTAAGATGCAGGAATTGCCAAACTGGATCAAAGCCAGTGTTCAGGGTATTGTCTTTGAGAGCAGTCAACACCACCTGCTTTCCAAGGAAGGAACTTTGCAGCATGCGATTTACAGGATAACTGCTCTCCACTAGGAGGCAGGTGAGAAGGCACGTTTTTGTCTTGAAGCAGGGGTAATTTTTTCACATTTACCATTATAACTCTGCATAACATTGTTAATCATATAAATGTTTAACTGTCTTGAAGATGCATCTAATTTATGTTTGTAAAACATTAAACAGTTTAAATAAGAGCTCATAAATTTGAAAAAAAAAAAAAAAAAGCTTTTCTGAGAAAAAAACTCCAATGTTGTTGGAACTCAAGAATAGCAAAAGATCTTTACATGTGTGACACCAGAGGACCATTAAGTATCTGCTAATCAATTTTTAAGTCTAAACCTCTTTGCCAAATGTTTAGCCTAGAATCATTCAAATGTCTACTACAGTACGAACCTACATTTACCAAATGCAAAAAGAAGCAAAGGTAGGAAAGAAAAATTCCTCTTTAATAGAACCATTGAGATGTGCCTAAAGTTTTAAGTAACCACGTTCACTATCAACCACATTTTTAATTCAAATACTTGCATCCCCTTCCTTTCTACTGGGAGGGGTTTCAATCATGAGCTCTGCTGGGCAGTGATTATAGCCTCCTTCCGCAGTAAGATTTGGGTCTAGCTGCAGACAACTGAGTACACAGAGTTCATTGCAGGACAGAAACAGACATCGTTGCTTATTTCCAAATGTCGAATGTGTTTGAATGCCTAAAAAAATTCTGAGTGATAATTAATTTATCATGTTCAAATCACTGCAAAAAGGACAAATACCTTGTTGGAGCACTGCCGTCTGAGGACTGTGCTGATAGATAGCCCATTCTGAGGCAGCCAGGACTCTGGTCTAAGCTTGTAGATTTCGGTATTTGAGGAGCCTTTCTTTTTGATCTCAGGTCACAGCTCAAGAAGCTTTTTGCGTAGGAAGCTAAATTCGGAACACTGACGACACGGCTGGGCACCTCATCTATTTTCTTCTGCTGCTTTTTATCATAACAGAAAACTGCATTACATGTGCATTTGCTCACGCTAATACTATAAAAACTCAACAGTATCTCATTCCTAGACATTTTGTGAGGAACACCCAAAAATGGAGTTTCCCATTTTTTCTACAGGCATTAAAAATAAATTCCCCTTTCTGGGTATGTTGTGAGGATCCCTGGATTCGGTGGGTCCAGTTCAAACAAGCTGTGTTGAGGCTATAGATGCATCAAAAGCTGATAGTGTTGCAGGGATACCGAGAGCTAAGTTAGGTACTTTCCACCAGCTTACCCTCACTTTTTTTTCATGATTCCTTGTAGACAGTGTAACACAGCAGGGCTGGAATGGCAAGGGGCAAATCCTGGTCAGCCCAAATCCAATTCATAATTTTGCTTGATGCATGCAATATCCCAAAGAGCAACTCCCAATTATCTGCAAGCAATGGCTGTGCTTATTCCAGTGAAAGACCAAGCTCTTTTTTGGGTCTAGTGTTTTATATCTGCTTAAATATTCATTAGTATTTGCTTATATATTTCTACTTAGTTTATATTATATTCAGCACCTAATTGTGGGTTGGTTTAACGGGAAAGAATTCTACTGAGTAACATCATATAAAATGAAGAGGACCTTTATTTTAATGAAAATGATCATCTGTATGATTAAAATAGCAGTAAAACACCATGAGTTGCAATTTTCATTGAATTGCCTGTCTTACCTTCATGGAAGAAGTCAAACCTGCCAGATTAGGGTTGAAAGAAAAGGATCGATTCCTGTATGATTCAGTGCTGGCCAAAAGGGAAGGCTGAAATTTTCTTCCTTCCTGGGGGGAAATAAAAGTATGTGTGTGTCTTTGTTATGGAAACATACATTTGTCAGAATGTTCCAAAGCAGAAAGAAAAGTATCAATCAGAAGCCACGAATGGAGCCTTCCAGCAGATTCCAAAACAAGCATGTATATGCAAAATAAATTTCTCACCACCAGCTGCTTGATGATCTCTTCTCTCTCACTTATTTTATCTTGCAGGCGGCTTATGAGGTGTATATCTTCAGGTCTGGACTCCCCCTTTCTGGGCTTTTCTTCTAATTCTTTAAGTCTGTGCCAAAGAAAGAATGCAGGCCAGAAAAAACCTTCCTCAGACCAGGTTCAAGAGACACCTGGGCTACAGTCTAAACCTAAAAAATAGGGACATAGTCAAGCCTCTGATAAAACAATATTTTTAAAAAACAGACATCTGTATATATATTACACATAACTGTAGACTGCTGTGGAATTCCAAAATAAATAGCCTGTAAAATCCTATAAAATCAGTAAAATCCAACCCCTGATGTCAAATATTAACAAGCTTTCACATCATATTGCTAGTCTAGTTTCCTAGAATGGTTTGAGACCTGCCTGTGTGCACAGAGGTCTCTTTTTCCAGGGATATGCTGCACAGTTGAGGTAAGAGGAAAGGAGAAGATGGAAAACAAGAATTATGTGTTAGGTGCCACTTCTGTACTGTTTGAAGCACCCAGAACTGCTTATCTCCAAAGAAGGCTGCCAAGTGCATCTATTCTCATGAGTAAGTAGGGACTGCAGTTGGGGAATATCCTGGGATATTTGCAAGGGAGTAAGAATGATCAAGAGCTTAACTTTAAAGATGCTGCTCAGCTGAACAAAATTAAGTACAAGAACATGGATTAAGGCTCCTGGTACAGTCTGTGACAGAGATGATTATACAAGCTCTATAAAACTGAGCATAAGTGCAGGGTGTAATTAGCACTATAAAAACTGTACATCTATTGCTTTACATTAAACAGTATTCACAGTTTACCACCATGTATCTGGGCCCTGTTATGTTTGCAACAGAAATACCTGTGCACTTGTGTTTCAGTGCTTATGATATTCCACCAGGTAATAGAAAAAATACATCATATATAGTAAGGACAATAATTACAAACAGTACTCATTGCCAATATGAGCTACAGCTTATTTAAATGACTTACTCAGTCTCTAAGGAGAAAATCTTTGCTTGGAGATGTGCCCGAGTGCTGCTGAAATCAGATAACATGTTTTCGATTTCCTTCCGGTGATCTTGCTTCAGTACGTCGAGTTCTTTTTTATGCTTGACTTTGAGGTCTTCTATCAGTAGCCTTTCAGATTGGTATTAAAATATGTCTGAATTCTCAAATGCTTTAATACTAGCTTATTATCATTGATCAAAGCATGCAGTTTTGAAGTCTTTTATTCACAACAAAGGTAGTTAACTGGGCTAAGCTCCAGGCGTCTGCTTGCTGGTTTGACTTTGACACTTTGAGTTGCAGTCTGAAGCAGAACCACGCTAGCAGTGAGGAAGGGGGAAGTTACTTTGACAAGAAACGCTTGTCCTTCAACCTTCAGGAAATGGAGGGTCTGTTCTATATGATGCGATTGGCTGGTTTGTACATTCATTTTGATGGCCAAATGTGACAATAATGTATTGTGGGAACTCACTTGTATTCGGCAACATTATTTTGAACTCTCTGGGATTTTAAGATGAGGCTCTTTGATGCTCTATTTCATGACATCATGGCATCTCAGTTAATTCTATCTACCCTCCTAAAAATAAATATTTAAAAAATATATATGTAACAAAGGTTGTAACAATGCCTTTAAGCACATTTGTCTTAAACAGACAATACATTTTGAAAGATATGCCATTTAATTAACACGACTGTGTTAATTGCAGTTAACTAACAGTTGCAGTTAGTCAACTGCAAACAAAAAATGCTTGGCATTTTTTCAAGCCTCAGCTTTGCTTTCTGATGCCAACCCTGAAACCAATGGACGTTCACTGAGGAATCATTATGAGCTTGCTGCCTTTTGTTTGCTAATGTTTTCTTAAACCCTGGAGAACTCACTACAAAGAGTCATACAGATGTCAAAGTCAGCAGCTTAACAACTGTAATTTTCACAACAGATGTTCTGTTTACCTTTTCAGGTTTTTCAAATATGTAATCCTAAGTCTCCTTTCACTTGTTTCTGAAAGGCTTCAGGAAAAGCCAAAAGGCCCATAAAAGGCTTCTGCCCTTGAAATTAGAGCACAGCCATGGGGGTGACTGATTTGGCACTCTGCACAAATGAAGAAGCAAGAGAATAAGAGTGAAAAGGGGAGCAGAACCCCTGAACTGGATCTTCAGAGGTAGAATAAAAACTCCCCTTCAGAATATCTATTCTGGGACTTGTCCTCTCCTCCCCATAAAAAAAAACTTTGTCTGCTCTCATTCCAGCCCCTGCTGAAGTTTGTCCTGGAGGTGGAATTCCCAGAGTTCAAGAGAACGGAAATTAAAATGACTACTTCAAGCAGATTACTGGTTGTACCTACTAGGTGACAGTAGGAACACTAATTTTAAATAATTAGCAATAAAAATTTAGTATGTGCAAATACCAAACTACAATCAGTTTTCAAATCAGAAACTATATATAGCGTAAGAGGAGGTCACTGTCATTGAAGTAACAGTAACAAGCTGTTATTTATATGCACCCACCAATTTAACTATCCCCTTACCCAAATTAATGGTCCTGCAAAACAAGAGCTGCAAGGTCTTGTTCCAGGTCTTCCATGGGTAATCTTAGAGCAGGCAGTATCAGGTGCCTGTGACCACTTGAGCTCTTCAGTGCTACCTGCTTGTATTTCAAGTTTTGTTCCTTACATAATTTCCATTAATACTTCCTTCTCAAATGCTCACTGTAATAGAGCCACACCCTCTATCTGCTGTGAAGACTATCTCCCAACCTAGCAACTTCTTTTTTTTTGAGGCCTTTTAGACATCATCTCTGACATGTGAATAATTTTTCCCTTTGTGAACAGATGCTCTAAATTCCTTCAAGGTAGCTGGAAGGACCTGATGAAACTCTCTGGTTTGCAATTCTTTCTGTTGATCTTCCCTCAAAAGCTTGAAATGAAAGTCATTTCCAAGTAACTTTCAAAAGGGTATGAATGAAAACGTTTTTTTTTTTTTTCTTATTCTTTCAGTATCCACTGACTGGTAGACAGCAACAGAATTACTCTGGCCACTTCCACACTCTGCAGAGAGACATTGCGTCCCTTCAGTGCTTTTCTCAAGACTATATAGGACAAAATTTAGATGGATTCCCTTAAACACGTACTCTTCAGAAATCCTTTTATGTATACAGATCAAGGAGCTAGGAGCATACATTCCGAGCATTCACCAGTGCAGAAATAAACTGAAAGGTACCTATGTGCCAGATCCCTCAATCTCTCCACAAAGGGAACGTGGTATTATCATCCAAAAAAGCATCATTTCAAATCATTCAACAGCTATACCAATGCTTTGGACAGTGAACCCCAATCTTGTTTTCCACATAAAAGGCAAGTCCTGCACTTTTTCTGCATGGATGCGGGAAAACTGCTGGTACTGCAATGCAACACGTGTGCCGCTAGATTTTGGCTGCACTAAGAGGATGTAATCCACCTTTTGCAAAGACAGCCACGATTACAGGTCAGCTTGCTCCTCCTGTGCCCTAACAGCACATACAGCTCCAGACTTCCACCAGCCTGGACGCAAACTGCCAGTAGCTGGTGTCACGGCCCTGGCTGTTAGAGCCATAGCGGAGTACGTCTGTAGCATCCACAGGTGTCCCCTTTAGAGTTAACAACCCATTGTTTTCAGCTGTGGACAGTGGGTTTAAAAACCTGATATCTATTGTCAGAGACTTCTACATTTTTAAATAGACCTTGGGTGTGTTTCGGGTTCGTTTTTCCTTTTGAATCCCTTTCAAGACAGAGGGAAATTAAGTGGCTTTTTTTCAGGTAACACCTGCAGGACGTATTTCATTGGACATGTTTGCGGTACGTAACTGAACAGTTTAGTTCAAACACTTATGCCTGGAGAAAGAAATGTGATACTACTGCTTTTGCAAAACTTACAACCTCTAAAATGAGTATCTGCAGAAAAAACTGATTCTGACACTCATCACATTTAGAACACCTCTGATGCTGTCATTATTACTGACTCTCTGGAGAGTACTATAAAAGTGTGAATTTAAGACAAACCTTCTGTGCTGTTTCTCCCTGTCCTGAAGCTGTGCAGCTTCTTGCTTCTGTGACCCCAGCTCAGCACTGAGTAGTTCCATGGTGTCCTTCAGAAGTAAATTCTCTTTCTTGAGACCAGAAACTTCATGCTGACTTTTTTCCAGTTCATCATGAAGAGATCTGATCTGGCTCTGGCTACTTCCTTCCTAAGAAAAAGGCCAAATTTCATTATTCACAGCCTCTTATTATTTAATCAGAAGAACTCATTAGGCTTCTGTGCATAAGCGATTTTTCAATTCTACGTGCAAGCCAAAATCTGTGATCAAAATTTCCTCAGTATGTTTTATATTCCCCATGAAATGTATTTTATGGTAACATTCATTCATTTACTTGTGTTGTAGATTATGATCTTTCAATGGAAAAAAAATCTGCCCATAGGGGAAAAGCTGATAAACAATGATAACATTTTTTAAGTGTGACATAAGGGATAGAAATCCATTCCATTTCTGTACGAGGGTCTGTACCTTAGCACTACCTAACAATGAAGTAGAAACTGGAGACTTGCCTGTTGCTTCTTCAGTGTTCTCACGCTCCTCAGCTCCATTTGGAGTTCTTCTATTTGCTTTTTGAGCCTAGTGCACAACGTCTGTTGCTCAGAAAGTTCCATCCTTAGAGATCCTAGTAACAATAAGAAAGATTACCGTTAAGGAGGTCAGAGGCTAGATGGATTGGCGGGGTAGATGTTGACAAAGCAGATGAAGACACTAATACATTACTTTTTGCTTTGTCCCGCAATTCTTTGGCCATTGAATAAAATAAATGTGATTGGGGGGGAAAAAAAAGAAGCACATAAGATCTCTGGTAAAACACGGGCCTTCTGTTACTAGTCAAATAACAGTAACAAGCTTTTGGGCTACAACAGCAATAGCTCAACATGGGAATCAGAGGGGAAATTCTGTCAGTTGTTTTTCAGACTAAATAATTATAATTGCTTCTTCTAATCTTGACCGTTACTGGAGCACCCCATCATTTCTTGTTAGGCCCACTGGTGGTTCATAGAAGGCCATAACTCAGGAGAGGAGGAGGAGGTAGACTCCTCAGGAGGAGGTAGACTCAGGAGAGCTCTGCTTGTGTCAGAGAAGCGCAGCACTTGTGCAAACAGATCTCTGTCATATACTGCCACTGGATGTGTATAATGAGTACAGGTTTGGGGATGGATCAGGTAGAAGGTGAAACAAGGCTTTCTCTCTGATTCTTTCAACAATTTTTATTGAGGAAGCAGGCTATAATTTATCTATTGAACATAAAAACTTTAGGTAGCAACAAATCTTTCTAGCAAATTTGAATTACTGAAGAAAAGCACAGTTACATCACTGAATCTGGTTTATACTTGAAGTACTTTTGCATTATTCTTTTTTTTAAATTAAAAAAAAGTTTATAAATGAGCTTTAATAGCCTGAGTTCAAGTCCAGAGATACTACAGGTCCTAGTAATGCAGTGTTTAATCTAGATTGCAACAGCTTAGGGAACTCTATTCTTTGTAAACCAAATAAACAACGTATATGAAGTCACTGATCCCCACTGCAGGACTTAATAGAATAGATTTGATCCACATATAGTAATTCTTCATATGTTATTCCAGTTTAATGCATCTGTAAGTGCATACCTGTATGCTTTATACGTGACTACTCTTCCAGCAGCTCTCTGCTGCTGACAGTCGAGAGCTAGGCTAACAAAGAACAAGTGTGTGCTGCTGAAATTGTAGGGTAAGGGAAAGGAGATTCACACAGACCTGAGTTCCCAGCTGCTGGGGAAGAAAATGAATGGGATAAAAGTCAGTCCTTCTCAGCATATAATCAAGCAGTAGGAGCTGTGTATGACATGAGATAGTATACCTAGCAACAGAGTTTGCTGTTTCTGTATTTGCTCGAGTTCATCATGTAATTCTTTTTTCGCTTTCTCTTCCAACGTTTGTATTTCCAGCTTATGAGACTGATGTT